TAATCAGAGATTTAAATGAGAATTTCTGGTCTGGGTCAGGGATCAAGATCTGGATCAGCTCGGTATCTGATTGACTATTGTGAAATTTAGTTTATACTATGAAATTATGAAATTGCAAACATTTTCTCAGTGTGCATGTCAATAACTCTGTGACTGTAATTTCTATAAATCGTAGGATTTGAATTCTGTGTGTAGGTTAATCTACCTTTATGCAATTTTATTACAAAAATAGAAATTAAATATAGTTTATAACCATTTCAGAAAAACTGCTAGTAGTTTTGTCACGCAGTTTGTTCTGTTCCAGTCCAGATGGCGGCTACTACTGAGAAAAAAACTGTCGTCATCATTGGTGCAGGACTGTCTGGGTTGCAGGCCGCTGTAAAACTGATCCAATCTGGTAGTTTTCAAGTGAAATTATTAGAAGCGACTGATCAGGCAGGAGGACGGGTAAACACATCATGGAAGTTTGGTGAGTTGAACACCATAAATGATCAAAAACACGGAAGATGAAAATTTATTTATTTATATAAAAACATTTTGCAAATATTGAAACCAGTGTATCTCACATGAAGCAGATTTTTTAATTTTCACAACTATTTCCAGGTTCATTTCCGATAGAGTTAGGAGCTAACTGGATTCATGGTAACCACGGTAACCCTGTTTACGAGCTCGCCAAGAAACACAAACTCCTACATGTAAGTTCCATCATAAGTTACTAAATGATAAAATTGACTGTATTTGCTCTATTAAAGGCGTTTTATGTGCTTCTAATAGAACAAATATGGTAATAGATTTATAATTTGAAGTATGACCTTTTGCACAATAAAAGATTTATATTTATATTTCCAATATTTGATTTGAGCATGTGTCAGTTGGATACGAGTTTGTCTGCAGCTATTTGAATTTCCAATCCCATGTTTAGAACTTTTAGAACCTAACACCATCGAACTCCTCTGTATTAAGCACTAGCTGATTTTTGTTGAAACAATAATTTAGTTTCCTCTAGCAATCCATCATGATTGTTCTTGTAATTGATCAGAACTAAAACTACTGGTATAGTTACACCTTTGAGATTTCCGTCTTCTATTTGCTTGTCACATTCTTCCCTTTTAGAAGTTTCATCAATTTACATCAACCACTGATTTACATTCACTCTAACAATTCACCCACTTAATAATGATTCGGTAGTACTGGCTGTCTTCCTAAACCTTCAAACAAAAACCTTATTTTTCTATATTTTTAAAATGTCCAGGATGGTGGAAAAAATGTTTTGAATCGCTTTGGAGAGTGGTTTGATGATGAAGATGAAAATTACTTTTACACAGAGAATGGGATGAAAATAAATTATAAATTGGCAAAAAAGGCAGTTGATATTTACCATAAGATAGTGGACAAATGTGACAACACTGGTCAGAAACTTGATGATGGGTCAAGAGCAAATGTGGGAGATATGATCGACAATGAAGGAATAAAAGAAATCGAAAAGTTGAAACTGACGGAGAAAGAACGAAGACAGATGTTGGGATTACTGGAATGGGCTAAAAAGTTAGAGTGTGTCGACAACGCTTGTCAGAGTACGTATGATTTATCACTCAGGTGGTTTGGGGAGTATGTGGCGCTTCCCGGTGACTATTATACCGAAATGGGACAAGGCGGATACCAGGCATTGGTTGATTTACTGTTGAGTAAAATTCCTGTTGAGTGTTTGCAGTACAATAAACCAGTTAAGAGTGTAGATTGGTGTGGGGCAAAAAGTGAAAGGTCAGAGGTGAAAGATGACAGACACGCGATTGGCGTTGAGTGCACGGATGGAGAAAAAGTAACAGCAGACCATGTCATCGTGACTACCTCACTGGGTTTCCTTAAAGAAAATTCTGAAACTTTCTTCAATCCTGTTCTACCTGAAGAAAAGTTGGAAGCAATAAGTAAAGTTGGATATGGGAACATTGGAAAAATATTCCTGCGATTTAAAAATCGATTCTGGAACAAGCATCTGGATGGTATCCAGTTTATATGGGACTCTTGTGATGCAGCCTCTAGCAAAGAAACCCAATCCAAAACCTCTCATGAAGAATGGATGAAATCTAACTGGTTTCGGAATATATGTGGCTTTGAAAGAGTCTTGTACCATAAAACTACTTTAGTTGGATGGATTTATGGAAAAGAGGCGGAATATATGGAAAGTTTAGATGATGAAGAAATTAAAAATGTAAGTATAAAGGACTAATTAATGTCACTATATTTCAGCTTGAATTTATTTTACAGTATCTTGGATGATTTACACTGATTTTTATGCTAAATTTAGGAGATATTTTCACTGTATCATATTTAGCACTGTTGTTGTTGAAGTTACATGATTGATACTGATCAAGCGGAATGAATTAAAGGCATAAATTTGATGTATTTATAATAAAAATCAAAACTGTGAGCAGCCCAACAGGGGTTCAAGCATTATTAACATGAAACAACTGACAACCAACAAAAAGTCAAAAATTGTATAATATAAAAGCAATCTAATTTGAGGTTTTCAACAAGAAGTCAAAAATATCACTTTTGAGAATTTAAGATATTACATGAAATGAACAAATCTGAGAGAGGTCCATCCAAGGTACCTATATAGTATCAAAGCAATCAGACTTGCGGTTTTCAAGAATAAGTTGGAAAAATAAAAAGTTGATGTGTACGATAACAGTCACTAATGACGAGCAATCAGTAATATGACTATCTCTGCTTGACAAAGTAGACAGTGGAGCTAAAAAAAAAGTGGGTTTACCAAAACACTAAGTACCTGGATAGCTTCAATTCTCTAATACTCTGAAACGACTAATTTTCACTGGGTTTAAATTTTGCTGATTTACCATTTCAGGCATATTCAGAGAGTTTTAAATTCACGGTTTTATCATTTAGATAATGTGTTCTATGCTGAATTTTACATATTCACTGGGTTTTAATTTAGCACATTTTCCAGTCAGCGAAATAAGCAAAATTAAAACCCCGTGAAGTGCCTGTGCAATGCCCACCCTCACGTTTCCCATTTTAGATCTGTGTCCCACTGAAAAGGGTAGTTATTGATTTTTTTGCTGAAAATGATTACTCGTATCCAAGTAAATTTGGGATATTTCTTGTGTTGTAGCCACGCCCACCTATCGTGAAACGGTCAACTGTTTCCGGATTTCCGACTCTCGTCGAAAGTGCGCCACCAAATGACAAAATGTGAGAGGAAGTCATACCCCTAAGCCGTAATAACACTGGTCATTCAGTATACTTTTAAACGATATACATTTTTCGGTCGGCGTTTTTTCTTTTTTTTTGTCTATTTTTTTGTCGAATTCACACCTCTGTTCTTTTTTACCTCCATGCTTGCAGCTTGATATGCGTAATAATTTATGAAATACGAATCCGGGCCTGGTCAATGTGTTTCCACCAAATAAAATTTTAATACGATGTTATAATTATGACAATCATGCCATGGATCACGCTAACTCGAATCCACTCTGAATTTATCTGTATGTGTGTCGATCTCGATTATTTTTGTTATCCAATTAAACGCCGCTTTTAACGCACTGTCCCTCACCGTGACCCGACACGTTCACCTATTTCAACAAAATGTCAATTTATTTCCATGCGGCTGTCACTTATTTAGT